CGAGTTTTTGCCTCAGCGACCGCCGAAGCCGCATCCCGCTTGGCCTGCCGGTACCCGTCAGCTGCCTCTGGAGTCCCACAGGCTAAATAGGCCAGATAGGACTCCTTCTTCAGCTTGACGGCATCCCTCACCACTGGTGTCCACCAGCGGGTTCGCGGATTGCCGCCACGACAGGCACCGACTACCTTACGGCCACAGCTCCGGACAGCCCCCTCCACAATATAGGCACGGAACATGGCCCATTCGGACTCAATGTCCCCCGCCTCCCCCGGGACATGGGAAAAGTTCTGCCGGAGGTAGGAGTTGAAACTCCTCCTGACAGGGGATTCAGCCAGACGTTCCCAGCAGACCCTCACTATACGCTTGGGCCTGCCAGGCTTGGCTGGCTTCCTCCCCCACCAGTGGAGCCAACCCACCACCAGGTAGTGATCAGTTGACAGCTCCGCCCCTCTCCTCACCTGAGTGTCCAAGACATGTGGCCGCAAGTCCAACGACACGACTACAAAGTCGATCATCGAACTGCGGCCTAGGGTGTCCTGGTTCCAAGTGCACATATGGACACCCTTATGCCTGAACATGGTGTTCATTATGGACAATCCGTGGCGAGCACAGAAGTCCAACAACAGAACACCACTCGGGTTCAGATCGGGGGGGCCATTCCTCCCAATCACGCCACTCCAGGTCTCACTGTCATTGTCCACGTGAGCATTGAAGTCCCCCAGCAGAACAAGAGAGTCCCCAGAAGGAATGCTCTCCAACACCCCTTCCAGAGACTCTAAAAAGGGTGGGTACTCTGAACTGCCGCTCGGCGCATATGCGCAAACAGGACCACATCACCATAATAATTCAATGCCCCAAGGACCCGTCCCCCCACCCGAAGGCGAAGGGAGGCTACCCTCTTGTCCACCGCGGTAAACCCCAATGTGCAGGCGCCCAGCCAGGGGGCAATAAGTATGCCCACCCCCGCTCGGCGCCTCTCCCCGCAGGCAACTCCAGAGTGGAAAAGGGTCCAACCACCTTCAAGGAGACTGGTTCCAGAGCCCAAGCCGTGCGTCGAGGTGAGCCCGACTATGTCTAGCCAGAATCTCTCAACCTCGCGCACCAGCTCAGGCTCCTTCCCCATCAGAGAGGTGACATTCCATGTCCCAAGAGCTAGCTTCTGCAGCCGAGGATCGGACCGCCAAGGTCCCCGCCTTCGGCCGCTGCCCAGCTCACAATGCACCCGACCCCTTATTATAAGTTTATTAAGACACAATCGAGAGAGGCCAAGAGCAAATCAAGTTCTGACATTAGTAAATAGAATTCCAACACTACGTGAATGTCAACATACTAAAGACCTGATATGTCTTCTTCATAACCAATAGATTCAGCCTTTGTGGCTAAATAATGTGATACTACAAGCCCTAAAATGCTGAAAATCAGTCACATTTGTAGTATTTCTTATATTTTCTTGTAATAAAAGTTTGACAAAGCAGTGTATTGTTTATTTTTTTTTTAAATCAGAGGGTGGGCCCAAACTTCTGGCCTGTAAAAAGTATTATATACTTTTTCAAAACTTTTTCCGAAAACAACAAACACAAAATAAATTAATTTTCTATGGTTACTCAAGGAATCCAAATAAAATACATACAATATATAAAATCATTACAAACTGGTACAATATTAATTAAGCCATTAGCTGTTCATTTCCCTTCATTGAACAGCAGTTGTTTGAATGACAGAGCTTAGCATGTATAGGATGAGTTAGCGATCAGTGTTAGATTACCCAGCATACAGAGTGACCTTGTGTCCCCTGAAGACAAGTTCATGACAGCAGTTATGAAAATTTGACTGAAATTAACAAACCGAAATAGGATTGAAAATATCTGGAATACTGGATGTCTTCAGACAGAACATGGCAAGTCCAAGCTATACCTAACACAGAACATGGAAAATCCAAGTCATACCTAAAACAGAACACATCCAAGCTAAATTAAACACAACATGGCACATCCGTGCTATACCCAACACACACAACATGGCACATCCATGCTATACCTAGCACAGAACACAAATCCAAAGGGCATAATTTTTAATACTCATGTTAATTCCTTACAAAGGACTTGCTTCATACGGTTAAGAAATATTGCAAGACTAACGCAATTTTGAACTACTGAGTGTAAAGTATATTGACTACTCTCTGAAACCCAAATGCTCCAGGAAGAACTGCCACCACAAGTAGGGAATATCACACCTGTAGTTAGGTGTGAATCACCGATTTCCTGATATGTGCCGGACAGACTTCCTGCTTATACAGCATTGAAAAGTAATCTAATGCAGAATCTGCTCTCAGATCACCTCACAACACACCCAATGCATCTGTCAGTATGTCATCCATCAACAGACTCCCTGACAGAGGGATAAGCAAATGACCACCATTCAATAACAGAACCGACAAACTTAGGTGTAAAATAAGGTGCCCAGGGAGGGTGTGGCGGCTAGTTGTTGTCCTCCAATACCACATATTTCCCTCTCCTCCATCTTCTGTGTTGTCACTCATGGATGGTAATCTTTGTATATTGTGCATGCTGGAAAGGGTGCTGATTGAAGTTAAATAGAGGCATGCAGGGCAGTTCAAATACGTGGTAAGATGCGGACTGTGGCTTGTAATTTAAATAATAAAATTATAAATTGTGTTAGGAATTAAATTTGTGTTACCATATTCTGTCTATATAAATAAAGTTAAGTAAACATAAAATTTGCAAATACCAAACAGTTTGGTTGATGAGTAACACAATCGAAACGAGAAGCATAGTGCATATTGATATGATAGGTATAGCAATGGAGAATATGGACATTAAAAAGCACCATATTAGCAGAGAGCCTCACCATAGTGGCCTGGTTTGAAAGCAAAGCCCTGACTCTATAGTGCCAGCTGGAGATGGCGGCCAGCATCGAGCTGGCAAAGTCGTCCATCTGGTCATCCTCCATCAGTATATCGTCGCTGTCACTCTCCCATTCCTTCTCAACCTTTGAGGCTGGCAGCCCAGACTCATCACTGCTCTCTCTCAGGCACATCATCTCCTTTTCTTCTTCCTTGTGAGACCCCTCAGCCTCTGGGTCATGTAGACCAATGCCCTCCTCACCGGCACTAGTGTTAGTCTGCAGGGAGAGAGGAGCATCCAACAGTGTCCTGCCAACCCCTGAGGGCTGCAGCGTGGAGTCACAAAAAAGAGGCTTGTGATTGTGCGGCTGACTCACTTTGGTCTAACAGCTCTAATGTGTAAATACGAAGCATATTCAAAAATTTACTTTTTTATTTTTAAAAATAAAACTGTGTAATTATATTGACAACAGAAGGATGGCAAAAGATAAAATGGCATAGCAGAAATATTTCAAAAACCTTAATCATAGTGCATCACCTTAATTCTAGCATACTAAGAAACTGAAGATGTAATCTACATAACAAGGAATGCAAATACTGTTAGTTAAAACAGGAATTTGTGGCAGGATTGTATAGTAGACAAAGCTGAAGTGTGTTCAGATATACACTATTATTATTATTATTAGAAAGTGGCTTAATTGTTCACTAGGAATCTGCCAAATGTTGTGGCAAAGGTAAACAACAGGAATGCGGTTGTCAGAGTGGATGTAGGCTTGTTGGAATTTAGTCTGTTCTAGACTTTGCAAGTGTTTTTCTCTGCCTTAGTGTTAAAACCACCCAGGACGTAAAGCCCTTGAATGTTGCTTTTTGGAGGTGCAGGGTTATTATGTTAACAAGTCATTATACATAAAAACATTAACATTACAAAGGAGACAACTTGCATTGCTCCACCGCACATAAGTAAGATAATGAATAATATTTGGTATAAGAGGGGACCCTGTCTTACCTTAAGAGTGTCTGTTGTACACAAGAGACGCAGAAGAGAAATCATAGGAAAACACGAAAAGCCATAATCAACATTAAGCACACAGAGGTATATTCAATTATAGCAGACTGTTTAATGCATTAATAATAATGGCTTCCAGCTGTCACTTTCCAGCCCCCGCTGCTCCCAGGTCAACATAATGCTGACACACCGTATATGCAGTAAAACAGAGTGAAAAGGGGTGCCCACGTCCCAGGGGGGATGGACGTGTCGCCCCCAATATCTTCAGACATCATCACTGTCATCCTGTCACTCTTACTCCTCAGTTAAAATCACACTTCATTCTCCTTAAATCTAACTTACACCCTACACAGCTTTCACCACATCCTCAGTAATGTCACATGAGCAGATATCTATTTAGGGCTGAAAAATATTGGGGGGAAAAAATCACATTGTGATATTTTTGGGTTTTGCAATTGCCCTTCATAATGGTGCCTATTGCTATTTAACACATTAATGTCAGGGTATGAATGAAGCCGATAAGATGAGTTAAGAATGTGTTCCTTATCTTTCATTATCAATATTAAGGCAAATCCGCTGTGCATGCAAGGGGAAAACATATACAGGTACTGAACAAAGACTATAGTCCTATATCAGACAAAATCATTTTATCATATGGATTTTTTCAGTTATGTTTAGCTGTGACTTTCTTCTGCCCTTCAGTGAGTGACTGGTACCTTGTTGGACGGCTAGATGCAGACCACTTCAGTTCCCAAACCTCAGGGCACCTCAGCCATTCCATGTATTCGCCACTCATTTTACCACCAGCTCACATAATTAATTAACAGAAACTTAATTAAACTTAGTTAAATAACTTTAGGAGGTCTTGATTGGGTTAATATAGTATGCTAATAGTCAAGTCAATGAATACCTAGACATTGGATGGCTACTTCAGATATAGAGGTGATTTTCAGAGAGGTTTAGAACTGGCTAAGCTGAGGTTTTTTTAAAGAAACAAAATCCTCAGTTTACCCCGACATGAAGACAACTTAATTTTCTTCAACAGCCTAAGCCATTTGCATGACATTTACATTTAATTATTCATGCTGCTCGTGAGGATATGATGAATTGAAGTTATGGGAAGATATGATGACTGGGGGGTGGGGCACGACTTAATAATTTAAATATGAATAATTAATAACTAAACCCCGGTTCCTTTGCCCCTGTTATATCCATAATAATAGCAAGCAGTTACTTGCTGTTTTTGCACACTGACTGATGATTATTTCTTGGTGAGTTCATTGTTTTTGTATTTTTAGATTAGTATTTTTCGGTCATATTCACAAACTGCACTAAATATTTTGGAGCCAGCTGGATTCAGGCTAGGCATCACACTTAGAAATTAATCAGCAGGCAGTGTAAACCTTCTTACCTTTAATGCTCTGTATGATCTGTTTGGCTGGTTCTGTTGGAAAGACAAGAATGAATAATTGACATTTTAAGATTCCAGTTAACCAGCCGTTTAATACATTCAGTCTCCATCCATCCATCCATCCATCCCCCAAATATAGTACAGGGCTACACTAAGCATGAAGCCCATTGCTAGGAGACAGAGAGGGCACCCTATGCATCTGCTCACCTGACTGTCGACGTTTTACATGGACCCCTACAGTTACGTCATCTGGTTGGCAGGACATGGCTTTCTTCAGTCTCTCTGGGCTGTAACGATACTTAGGGTCTGGAAGACAGGTGCAGTGTGAATGGAGCAGGGACTGAACCAAAATAAACATTCTGAGTGACACAAATCAAACATGTCACTCTGCCTGTCATGAAATGGCTCAGTAAGTATATTGCACTGCCCATCAAGAATGACCCAAGAAAGGCACCAATTCCAGTACTGAACAGGAGGAAATCACCTACAGTAGGTCATACATTTGATTTCTGCAATTCTTTCAAAATAACGTATCACTATTAAGATCTATGTTGTGAATGTGAATTTTATCAACTGCCCTGGGGCTAGAACAGCACTGGTAGTGCAAAACCAATACTTACACGCAGAATCCATTTGCAGTGCATCCTTTGCCTGAGAAAGATAAAGGAAAAATTGCTTTTGTTGCGCAGCAATTGTTTTTATTAACGCAGCAGAAGTTATATGAGCAAAGCAGGGTCTGACTTACCTTCTGTGGAATAATAGCCTGGTGGTTTTCCAAAATAAGCCTTTTAATATGATGGGCCCATAACTTCCTCTCCTCAGCAGTCTTAGCCTTAAAGTCATAAAGAGAGAATTATGAGGTTGCCAGGACACTCCAAAGCTGTTTAAATATAAAAAAACAAAGCAAGTAAATATACTGGCTCCTAATAGCTTCCTTTCTCTAAAGCCACATGCATTTCAACGTCACTGGTCATTCAGCAAGTCCAATACAATAATATTCATATAGTGAAAACCATGCAATTTTAAAGCTTGATCAAGTTAAGAATATTTTTGATTTGTTCACTATCATTTTCCGTTGGCAAGCCCACACAACTGGATAATTCGGTTATTTTACCGCTTAGTAACTTTTTCACCGCACATCTGGACCTACCTGGACAGTGTGGGGCTGCTTAGGATATCTGTAGTGCATGACACTGAAGCACAGGGAGTCTTTGGCACTCTCAATCAACATCAGCGTTGAGCACTGGAGTAGGTGACACAACCAAATGTCAGAACATAGCCTTGTAAACCAAAGAAATCAAAATTTAGCCCTGCGCCCCAAGGACCTGTCCAATAATGCATTGTCCTGCCTGTCAATGTATGGCCCTGCTCACCAAGAGACTGCACAAGGGCTTGTCCTCTTGGCAGTGAAGGCCTTAGCTCATCCTGGGTCACTCACTGAGATGTGTGTCTTGTAGACATAGTGCTCCCCATGCTTCTTGGTGATGAGGAGCATTTTCTCAAAGAGGAAGAGCGTTCGTTCATTCTTGGAATGGTGCACACGGAAAGTGCCCTCTAGAACCAGCTCCCCGTAGGTTGTGAGGTCCGGCCCCTTCCAGTTGATCAACAAAGACTGGACCTCCTAAAGATAGGAGAAAAGAACAGGCTTATCAGTACTCCTGGAATCAAGATTGCTGCCAACACCTGAGTCGGAGACTCATAGGGGAGGTGGACCAGCCAGGATTGAAGCCTCCAATGAGGCTTCCAATCAGCAATCAGCCAACCGAATTACTGCTGATGTCCAGCCCTGCCTTTACGGCCCAGACGAAGGAGCCAATGCCCACTATGAAGGTGGGAGCCTGGCCGGCAGAGCTAACCCGCAGGTCGATACCAGCCTCTTCACTTTCAGTACTGCTGGTGCCAGATGTTCATAGTTGAAAGTGTAGCCAGGAACTCTACCCTCCCAGTATGTTCTCACACTGAGTGGCTCCTTTACTTCACTGACCTGCGGCATGGCGATCAGACAAAGCTGCTGGTGGTCTCTCAATCTCATGTGGACAATGTGCTCACCATGGCTAACATGCACACAATAGAATGAGTTTGACAGAAAAAATATATAAATTTAGGAGAATTAATCCCTTTTATCCAGAGCACTGGCATCAGAATGCCCTCTAGCAGTAAACAGTACACCTCTGTGTTTCCATGCCTCAGCAGAAAGGAGTGACTATCCAGTGGATGTGTGCATTATTTTGTTTCGCTCTGACGTTTCATTTAATATTCAACAAAATACTACTCTAATCAAAGAAAATGCTAACTGTTATCAAGGTGATGCACAATACTGCATGTTTTAATGATAGCTGCAAGCTTTTGCCTGTATTAAGCCTGTTTTGTGTTAAGCTTTGATTTAACTTTATAGCTCAGGTGATATAAGCTCAGTATACACTGAGAAAAAAAGGATTCTGCTTACTTGTTGGTGTTAAATTATGTTGATACAATGGAAATGTATTAATTTTTATGCAAAATTCTTTAAATGAACTCAATTAAATCATGGACAGTGGTTCCACCATGCAGTGACTTTGCGTTCTGAGTTAATTTCACTAAATTTTCTAATGTCTTATTAAACCAGATGAAAACCTTTAATTCTATTTAAATGAGGTATATAATGTAACAGCAGCCGTGACTAAATTCACCCACCATCATGAAGAAGATACTGATCTTATAGGATGTTCTCTTTGGCTCTACCCACCTATACGTACTACTACTATAGTGCAAAATGAAAGGGGCCCAACTGGCACATACCAAATTAGTCTGGCAACCCAAAGAACCATAAAAAATAACTCATAATAAAGTGTGGTAGAGACTAAAATCCAGGGCATAGCATCCTAGATCACAGTGGGCTTCTAAATATTAAGCCTGGGTTTCTAAAAATGGATCCTATTAAAAATCTGAATATTAAATAAGCAAAATGATATGATTTGATCTTCTCTCCCATAACAGAGCCTCAGACATGGTTTTTCTTGATCAAAAGTGCAACAATGCGTCTGGCCACCCCACATTTAAAAAACACTACTCCTATGAGTGTGAAGCTGGCGCAAAAATCATTCGCTATTTTGTGCACATGTCGTGAAAATGACCAATGCGCTGTTACAAAACTAGCAAAACCACTTTGTGTTGTGCTTTGCACTGATGGAAAATAGGGCACTTAATGTTATGCAGTCTAGCAACCAATTCACTTGGTTTAATTAGACATGAGAAAATTTAGTGAGATTAACTCAACTATATTCTGTTCTCAGAACACAAAGTGAATGCATTAAGTTAAAAAGAATGTTTCATTTTTTACATGTTCATTCTAGTTGTGTGGAACCACCATACATGATTTAACTGAGTTCATTCAAAGTAACGTTTATTCAGTGTTGAGTTCGGTCAAAGAATTATGGATGAAAACTATTTACATTGTATCAGCATAATGTAAATAAAACCATCAAGTCATTTTAGTTCTTCCTGTACAGTTTGTGTCATATCTGCGGTATGATGAAGAAACTTTTTGCATTTGATGTCAAAGCGTAATAATTCATTTATAATTAATTTATTTTATATATAGACACACACACACACCTTAGCAGAAAGGAGCATCAGTGCTGTGGTTCACTCCCTTTCTGCAGTTTGCCTGGTGTAGTGAAGAAACTTTTTGTATTTCATGTTCTAGTAAACATCAGAAATATGTCGTCCTCTGTCTGTGGTGATTTTTTTGGTCTGACACGAGTGATTATCTGCTAACAGTCAAACTGAGGACTGATACATGAGCAACAGCAAGTATATAACCACCTGGTGTAGTCTCAGGAATTCCAGCGGTTCCAGGACCAAAGTAATTCACCACTTCATTGAGGTGCCACCTGAATAAGGGTTTGTCAGTAACCTGACTGCATCCCTGAAGCACTCCCATGCAACATGGAAGAGGACATGCAAAACATTACCAAGCTAGGTAATCGTATTAGATTACCTAGCTTAGTCCAGCCAAAACCACTTCCACCAACTGGCCAAGTTTAACAGCTATCACATGCCCTGTGTGAATGACCTAATAGAACATTAAAGCCCATTTCAGACACACTGCCACCCTGAACTTATCTAGATATTTCCTGGAGAGGCTGTATGTGTGAAAGCAAATATCCAAATCAGTCATTTCAAATGGTAGACAGACTTTCTCCGGCTAGCTCTCTAGTAGTCCAGGTAATTTCTGATTGACCCCCTTGTATGAATGGAGCAGGAAATTGTCTGGAGACTTCACCGTGACTGAGTGGGTGCGTTCATGATGTTTCTATCACGCAACTGGCGTGAAAACAATAGAATACAAACATATGAGGGTGAGGAATAAGGATCATTTACTCAAAGAAGACCCTAACAAAGATGGCTAACTGGAGATACAATGAAATTCGGGGCATTCTGTCAGTAGTGCTATAAACAAAATTTGCGCAGTGAACTTTCTGCATCATGCCCATCAAGGGTTTGTTGTTGATAATTCACCCTGACGATGGACCACACCCTGTCACAGTGGATGATGACACAAATACTTGTGTGACCTAGTGGTTCCTGCCTCTGCAACTCCACACCTTTGACCTCTAGAGCTGATCCTGGGCTGCAGATGGCTTGCCTTGGACACATTGCTTTTAGGGCTTCTTAGGCCCGGCTTGCTTCCCTCCTACCCAGCAGGCCATGGCACTTGGAGGTTCTATGCTAGAACATTCAGAACTGTGCCGTGTGAAAATGTGCCCACCTAGAGTCATCTGGAGGATTTTTCTCCTGTCAGTTTCTTGCACTATGTCTTTCTTCTCCTTCTAGTCAGCTGGCTTTTCAGCCCAATAAAGAGACCTCAGCTGGGATATTCTGCACCCAGCATGTTTGCCTGACTCTTCCAGTGTATATGTACACCTGCTCATTAACACGAAAAGCCTGCTCATCCAGAGAATCATGCGGCAGGGTCAAGAGGTTCACTTACGGTATGACTAAGCATTAGAACGACGAGGATGTGTGATCTAAGCGACTTTAAATGTTGTGATCTCTGTTGCTGGACATGGAGGTTCCAGCATCTCAGGTACCTTCCTGGGGTTTTTGTGTACTACAGAGACATTGACAGAGTTTAGAAAGAATAGTGTGATTAAGGAAAAAAACTAACAAATTAATCACCTTGTTAACGAGAAGGGTTGACCTGCTATAGTTAACAGAAAGGCCACACACACAAAAATCACAGCTCAGTACAACAGTGGTTGCACTCATCAATCCTTAAAGTGGTTATGGAGAGTTCCTACCTGTAACTATACCTGAATAAGTGACCACCGCATGTATTTGTGCGAGAATCAGTGTGTGAATTGCTAATCTCCTGACCTGCAGTCTGACAGCATGTTCATGTTTCCTCTTCATGTCATTGATGTACCAGGCCACACCCGTCATGGTGTAGATGGCCTCTTCTACCACTTCATAGCCCTCCTCCTCAGGGTCGAAGTGTTTGGCAATCTCCTTCAGGGGTTAACAGTGGAAGCGTGAGCAGCAGTAGGCAGTACATCTGAACCAGAAAATGACTGGGTGGAGCGCCTTGTACCTGGAGCAGCAGGTGGTACTTGAGTATTCTCTGGACTGGCTTGAGCAGGTAAGAACCGAGGGGCAGCGGGTGCTTCAGCATGGCCTGTCGATCGTGAAAGAAGTTTGACAGAGTCTTGTTGCTCATGCACTCTGTCAACACAGCCACTGAACTGTGAGGAGGAACAAATACAGAGACATTTCAAAGCACATATCCCTCTATGGGACCCAGATCTCCACCAAGGTGAGTAAACATCAATGCAACTGGCTGTTTGTAACACACATGCATCTCCAAGAGAGTCAGCCTGTACACGACCTCTTGCTACCAACATCCACCCTTCTCCACATTTCTTTATATATCCAGTTCTCCTCCACATTGCAATAGTAGAGACGTCAAATCAGTAATGATGCACATATTATTACCACCACTAGATGGCAGGCATGCATCACTCAAAATATTTACGATTCCAGTAGTGTACAAAATGTATCCATTATTAAGGTTTATTTTTCAACAAAAATGGCACAGGGTTGAAAACTACAATGTTCATTCACTAGTCACACTGCTTAATGTACAAAAAGTATTCATGAGTTGGCGTTTATAGCCCTCTGCTATGCTGGCAGCCCTTACTTTGGGTAGTTGGTGCAGTATTGTGTGTAGATCTCAAAATATTCAGTCTGTGGAGAAAAAAAGGGGAGGGGGAAGCGCATTTGCTGATATTTTTACATCATAATACTCATTTCACACACTAACACTAGTCACACAATAACATGATCTGATAGGCGTCCCTCAGCGGCTCCCCCACCTTGTGCACAAAGCACCTGGCGATGGCCACAGCATCATTCTCACACATATCGAGGGACTGCAGCAGCTCACTGGAACACAGAGCAGATGACTAGTTTGGAGGCTGGATCTCATGTACAAACTATGGAAGCCAGGACACAAGCGGGCTATCAGTTATGTGTATAGTGGCTATTCACCTAATTATTTGGTGCAGAGCAGAAACAGAACTCAGAGCAAACAGATTTCTCGAAATCATGGGGCTTGTAACGCCTCAGAAATCTTTAACTTACTGCCTCATATTTCAAGATCATTACAGCTTGCTTTTTGGAAATGTTAAAGACTAAGTATGAATGGTAGACAGATGACAAAATGTTAGATAAAAAACAAAACAAAAAAAGAACACCACAACATCATAAAATTTACAGGTAATAACTGCCTCACCCTGGGCACACTCATGGTGACACAATAAGGTTTAGGACTTGCCTGTTGAATTCGTAGATATCCTCAATGTTCCCGAAGAGAGCACCCACTTGTTCTGGGAGAATGGGCAGGTTAGTGGTGTCAATGATATGAGCCAGGTAGTCCTGGGGATTGGCACAATGATGTGATTAATGCACCACCAGTAAACAATCCACAGCATACATGCTGGTTGTGAAACAAATTTTCTCAATATAACCTAGCTACGAATCATATACAGAACGTCACATCATCCATGCCACATAGTTCTTGTCAAAGACCTGCAAACATACAGTCAAGATGCTGAACTACAAAACACTGCCCCACGCACTGCCACTGTGGTATGCTAAAGGTTTCTCGATAGAGGTCCATCACGATGAGTTACACAAGTCACCACACTGTACCAACTGCAGAAGGGTTGACTCACAGTGAGCCAGTGCCCAAGTCGTCACAGGCAAATCTGCAAATGAGAACATTGGATTGAAAATGTAATTCAATGGTCAACTGTCCTTCATGTCTGTGAATGAATCTATGCGAGTTGGCCTATGAGAAATACAGCGAAAAACAGTTTGTATCATCAGCACAACATTATAGCAATAGATTTTGCTGCTGACATGGTAGGTGTTGGTAGACCGGCAACCCCTCAAATCAGAGTAAACCCATAAGAAAATGGCATCGCCATATCCATGGCTTTGCCCATACAAAACTAGCTGCTGACAATTCAAGCCTTTGTTTGGCTGTCAGGAAGCCTTGAGAACATATGGTGTGTGACACTTCACAGCTAATAGCAAATATTGCAGGTCATTATCTGCAGATTGCAACAAAGGAGCCCACATGCTAAGGATGAAACTACATTTGATAGAGTGCCCATGGTAACAGTACATATGATTGCAGTGCTTGAAGTGGAGAAAAACACTGCCGATCTCCCCCTTTTCTTGAAGATTACTGCTGATATATTATTGTACATGATATCTCACAGCAGCAGCGATCAAAAACTTGGGGTTGTCAGTCTGTCGGTGTTTCACAGGTAACAGGAACGAGTATCCTACCACCACAAAACCTGAAAAAGCAAAATCCATTTCATAGTTGAAGACAGGAAAGACAGGTTCTGGGGCGAAACTTAAGTCAGTTGACAATCACTTCATTCAGCTGAAGACCCACACACCCAGCCCTCTGTACCATCAGACTGTCTGACAGCACACAGGCACTGTCTAAAAATGCAACAATTATCTATAAACCAGTCTATCAACAGTGCCAATGTGCAAAATGTGCACAACAAAGCATATAGTGGGCTAAGACACAAAAACAAAATTGCAAAGCAGAAATAAATAAGTTAATGTACAGAGAAAGTCATCCACAATCTAAAAGGCTGTCATTTATGGTCCAGGTTCTCAGACATTCCCAACCACTACACTGACACAACATGAACAAACCAAAGGAAAACTGCTGCCTTTGTCATCCATTCTTCAGTTTTGAACAGTAGAATTGACTATCCTAGGGTAAGTGTATCCTATCAAAGGTGTGTATCCACACAAAAACAAAAATAAAGTTAAAATGTCTTTCAGTTGATACTTTCAGAGAACATGGCATTTGCGTGAGACATGGACAGTGGCTGTAACCACAGAGCAGGTGCTCTGGGTTTCATGGTCAGGTGTCCTCCGGCTAAACTTCATCTGCTTCCCTCTAATGGGGATTTTCTTTCAGAAATGCAATAATGCACCAGACACTAGAACTTTGCCCAAAACATGTAGCTCAGTTTGGATGATAATGCATTATTTTAACAATAGTAGTATTCATTTCATTAAGGAAACATCATATAAATTCTTTAGAACATAATACAGAATTTTTCTGAAAATACAGTATTGTACTATATTTTATTTGTGATTCTTCATAACAGGATGGTGGCTCAGAGGGTTATACTATTACCTTACAGCTCTGGGGGAGGGGAGTCAGATTCTGCTCCTGCTATGTTTTACATGTTTTACATGTTTTTGCAGTGTTGCACAGGTTTCTACCTACAGTCAGAAGACTTGCCTATCGCCTGTACTCTTTGAGATGGACTGGCATTCTCTGGGGTGAACTCCAGCCTTATACTCTATACTACCTGGGATGAGCACCAGAATATCCTAACCAGAAGATGGATGGAATTTCACTGATACTAATGTATACACTCACCTAAACGATTATTAGGAACACCATACTAATACGGTGTTTGACCCCCTTTCGCCTTCAGAACTGCCTTAATTCTACGTGGCATTGATTCAACAAGAAGTCAAACGCATTCTTTAGAAATGTTG